AATTAAGAATTTTAAGAAGATAAATTAAAGCTTGGATGGCAATAGGATAAATTAGTTTACCAGTGAATGTTTGGAGAGTGAGAGTTTTATAGCACTCAGAAGAGATATAGCTAAACTAAGATAGAAGATAGGATGTTAGGGCGTGAAATGACCTTAGCCGTTAAAACACCCTTAAAAATTAATAATAAAATAATTGCCACGCCCCCATGAGCACTACCTCCTTCAGAAACCTCAGCCTCTTTAGAAAAAACGTTGTAACCTCTCAACCTAAAGGATTCGGTTTTCTTAAGGTGAGTCTCCTGAAGAGCAATGATAAAAGGAGTATGGTCCACCATGATCCTCTTCAAAAAGCAATAATTATTTTTCAGTCCTCTCACATTCCATTGGATGATTGATTCCATATTAATCTAAAATTTCAACCTTCTAATACGAGTCAGCTAAACTGACTACTTAAAATTTTCTACAACTATTTTCCTTGGCCTCCCCTTTTTCCAACCCCTCTTATTTTTGGGGGGCGCCGTAATTTTGGGGGGATTTCTTGGGGACAAAGGTGCTTGATGTTCTCCATTAATCGGAGAAACAGAAAGAGGGAGAGGAGAGTTGAGTGGTGAAAGGGAAGGGGGAGGTAGGATGGGGACAAAACCATTAACAGGGGGATCCATAAGGGAACATTGGACCATGGTTTCTACCATTTTTGGTTTCGATTCTTTTTGGCCAGATGAGAGATTTTGCATTACGTTCAGTGGGTTGTTCCCTGACTCCGTCTGACAACCTATTTCTTTCGTGCCCATTTTAACTTTTTCGGCAAAGGTAATCCCTTTTTGAATAAGGCCAGAGCCTATTAGGGACTTTGCTTGATTGAACGTTATTTTATTTTTCACTTTCAGCTCCAAAATTTCGGTTTCATATTTATATTTTGGGCAATAACGCGCCAAGGTGTTATGTGGGAGACTGACAGGGAACAGTCTTTTCGTGCCTTTCCAGCCCATAAACACATAAAGACATAATAATTCTTTCAAACACATTAATAATAATAATAACAGGAGAGGGGAAATTCGTTATTTTTTGAAAAAGAAAGAAAATAATTCCATCATATGTACTACATAACTGTCGTTTCTTCACTGACTGGCCTAAGAATAATTGTTAAAATGAGGTTTTAAAAGTACAAAATTTTAAAACAATTCTACCTTTATTAAAAAATTTAAGGAAAATGTTTCAAATTTCACTCTGAGAGGACACAAAATAATTAGGCCAAATTAGGTACTAAGGAAAACAATAAGGCGGATATAAAGCGAAAAAATGGCAATGGACCAAAATTTTAGTTTCCCAAATAGCCTTCCAGTCATGTAAAAAATATTGTAAGTAATAAATGAGTGGATAATTGGGACAAGATGTAGAAAGTTTGTAACAAAAGGACAAGGTAACTAGTCAGTGATCACTGATAACTAAACCCCGGCTTTTCATAATCAGCAAAACGATTAAGCAATCTTTTGGACTGTCAAGCGCATTTCGGCTTTTCGTCATCATCAGTAATGTGTCAGTGTGGGTTTTTTATTTAGTTTTTTTTTTTTGAGAGAGAGAGAGCGAGATTTACAAATCTTTTAGTCTGTCTCTTTATTGGAACTTTCGTTTAACTCTTGAGCTTTTATTTCTCAAACTTTTTTCCAGCTTCATCTTAACACACTTTCTGGCCTAGTTCTTGTTGTGGTCCTCGTGGCAGGGGCCTTCGCTTATTTTGCGAGTTGGTATGGTATGTTATGGTAGAAAAGGATACTAGGAGCTGGGTTTGTACTCCCCAGCCTTCTGGCTTATTGTACCTTCCTAGTTCCTTAGTTCAGTGCAATAGACTCAATCCTTCTTCTTAGAAGTATCAGGTCATTGACTGTCGCTGCTGCAATTTGATTTCCTAAGGTTTTTCCGTACGTTAGGTTAAACCTCCATTGAGCTGTTGCTTAGCATTCGAAGATAAGGATGGCTGTTTCCTCCTCCTCATTACATAATCTGCAAATGGGATCATCGCTGTATATATCCATGTTGTGCAGATGTTTTCTCAGATGCCAGTGATCGGTTAGTAGTCCTACCACTCCTCTGAGTTTTGCCCTGACCAATTGCAGCAGTGTTTTTGCCAGTCTCGGTGAGGGTTGTTTCATCATAAGTTTACTCTGTCTAGCACCGCTAGAGTTCATCCACTTCTCCTTTTGTTTTGCTTGGATCCATTCTGCGATGGAGGATTCTATATTTGTTCTTGTTATCCCAAGAATAGGTTCGGGGCGTATGCTTGGTCTTGCACATCCTCCTCTGGCCAGTCTGTCTGCTTTCTCGTTAAAATTCCCCTATGCCCTGGCACCCAAGATTTTGGATGCATTCACTAACTAATTTTGATGTGATTCTTTTACATGATAATGCTTTAATGGCTGCTTGGCTATCTGATCTTATGAGGATTTTTTTGTCAGTGTAACCTCTTTTAAGATTTTCCAGGGCACAAGCATTGATGGCATGTATTTCTGTTTGAAAGACCGAAGTACTTCCCTAATGCGTTTGATTGGCTTGTACAGAAAACGCCTGAGCTTTGTGAGTTAGTAAGCTTGTTTGTTTCCTTCTACACCTATGTGTTGGGTTGATGCGATAAAGCCAACATCCCACATTTTTCACAAAATATATTTTACAGCCCAACTGACAGTGGAGGAACGAACAAGTTACTGTACCATCATTGTCAATTGAAAAGTATTTCTTTAGCGACTTGTTAGAAAAAAGGCGAGGCTGTCAGTAACCCACTACTGACTTTGCAAAATTACTAAATCCGTCTGACAGACCAACCCAGGGAAGATAGATCAAAATAGTCAAAAAGGACCAAATTATAGGTTCATCAACCTAAGGGTCGTAAACGGCCAAGTTACAGAATCAACACCCTGATCCTTTTTAAAAAGATAGTTCAAAAGTATTTCTTTAGTGACTTGTTAGAAAAAAGGCGAGACTGACAGTAACCCACTACTGACTTCGCAAAATTACTAAATCCGTCTGACAGACCAACCCAGGGAAAATAGATCAAAATAGTCAGAAAGGGCCAAATTATAGGTTCATCAATTCAACACCCTGATATGTACAGGGGTTAATGTAAAGTTCATGGTTCTTTAGTGACTTGTAAGAAAAAAAAGCGAGACTGACCCACTACTGAAGTTATTACTTTTTGCCTACACACGTTTGACAGACCAACGCAATGAGGACCGGCAGATATGATCAGTAAACCCAATTAAAATTTCCCCCAACAAACCACACGAAAAAATCTCAAAAGCCTTTAATAAATGACGGAGATTGTTCAAGAGACCAAAATTGATCGTGCTTCGGAGGGTTAGAAAGAGTAAATAGCTCCTAGTATCCTGTATATGATGCTTTTTTGGTCGAAGTTTCCTATGGTGGGTGACATCAATACAAAATCATTGCAGACTTCATCACGTTTCATAATTGTGTATCAAGCTGATAACAGTTTAAAAACATATTCTTAACATGTTAAGTTAGTAATATGTATAAATGTACTTAGTACTCTTTAGCACGAGGTACGAGCATAATTATGACCTTTCTTCTTGATGTCGGCAGTGTGATGGATAGGTTGTTTTGGATTAATTGTTGGCTTTTCATAGTCATCAATAATGGGTGTAATGGTTCTTGTAGAATTTCTTTGGTGATTTGTTAGAAAAAAAGAAATGGCACCATCCTTTGGTACACAAATGGATCTAGAACACAAGAAGGTACGGGGGCAGGAGTATTTGGACCCGGAGCCAAATACTCAGAACCCATGGGAAAACACACCAGTATCTTCCAAGCTGAGATTCACGCAATTGAAAGATGTATCCAATTCAAGGATACAAAAACAAGAACATAGCTATAATGTCAGATAGCCAAGCAGCCATCAAAGCACTAAGCTCAAATACCATTAGTTCAAGGATGGTGCTGAATTGCAAAACCAAATTAAACATATTAGGTATGCAGAAGAAAGTCAGCATCTGCTGGGTCCCAGGACACATGGAAGTAGAAGGCAACGAGAAAGCGGACACCCTTGCAAGGAAAGGGGCTGCCACACCGCTGATAGGACTCGAACCCTTCTGTGGCATAGGAATCCACACTATTAACGAATATTTCAGACAGAAGGACAAAAAGAAAATGAGTGAACTTTGGAATTCACTTATTGGACATAGACAATCCAAGAATCTTCTAACCAACTTCGGCAAGAAAGAAATCACAGAATGTGTCAAAGGAAGCAGGAATAGACTGCGAATCCTAACAGGATTTCTGACAGGACACTGTAGATTAAATGTACATCTAAAGAAAATTGGATTAATCCAAGATGGCAGATGTAGATTCTGCAAGGAAGCAGAAGATACACCAACACACTTACTAACAAACTGCGGAGCTACATTAGCCCGCAGGAGAAAGTGTTTTGGGATGTACAATGTGACCGCTTCAACCACTGAAACCAGGCCTATTAATCAAGTTTCTTGATGAAATAGGACTCACCGATGTGCTTTAGGCAGAGCACGGGGGATACAATAGGTCTTAAAGGGCGCGGTATACTACACCCTGAAATTACATCTACATCTAGAAAAAAAAGGAACCAATATAGTGACCTTCTACTGATGAGGTCAAACAGGTGAAACGCGTCTGACCCACCCTGAATACTTTAAGAAGAAATCATGGCATCCCAAACTATGAAGATAGGCAGATCAATGTGTCTAGGACCTAAATACCAGCATAATGTTTTATCTTACTTATCTAATGGTTTATCTAATTTAAACTAATTTGTTTATCCGGCAATACTATTTTCATTTATTGGATCGATAATACATGTCCCTAAGGGGCTTTCTGATCTCTTTAGCTAGTGGTGAAAGGAAAAATGATTCCTATTACAATTTCCCTCGAGGTTTTCCACTTACATTTTTCGTGCACGTCAAATTATCGTTATCCTAGATTTTTAATGGAATTACTTACTAATCCGGAAGACTTACCTCTTGAGTTGACAAATGCCGCGATGATGGTAAGGTTGACGATTACGATGACAACCGCTATAATGGCGAGGGCTGCCGCTTGTGTGATAGGCTCCAGTGTGAAGACTCGATTTCCCCATCGCTATCTAGCCATCACAGGTCGACAACCACCTAAAATCAAAGGTTTTTTTAATTATTATAATAACTTTCAATTAATTAAGGTTCTTAGTTGAGATAAAAAAAGTCAGTGTCGCGAGCGGGATTTGAACCCACGACCTTTGGCTGGATACGCCGCTACTCTACCACTTGAGCTATCCTGACTTAGATTCACTCGAACACTAACTTCCCATCTCAACCCCACCTTTTGAATTTTCCCTTCTTTTTGCCATTTTTGTAAAGTCGTGTAATCTATTTGATTCTCGGCGACAAATGAAATAGCCACGGTGAGCTTTAGTGAAGTATACTTCATTTTGACTTATTTAATTCACTAGTTTTCGTGGTCCGTTTGACCAATTAATTAAGGTTTTTAGTTGAGATAAAAAAGTCAGTGTCACGAGCGGGATTGGAACCCACGTCCTTCGGCTAGATACGCCGCTCCTCTACCACTTGAGCCATCGTGACTTCGATCCTCTCGGACACTAACTTCCCATCTCAAGTCACGATGGCTCAAGTGGTAGAGCAGCGGCGTATCTAACCGAAGGTCGTGGGTTCGAATCCCGCTCGTGACACTGACTTTTTTATCTCAACCAAAAAACTTTAATTAATTGAAAGATATTAATTGGTCAAGCGGTTCACGAAAACTAGTGAATTTATTATAACAACTGTAAAAACCAAAACTAAGAAAGCTTCAAAGAATTTATGTATTTGTACAATTATAAAAGAAATAAATACGGAACGACTTAAATACTGGATTAAAAAGTTTGTACAAACAAATTATCTAGTCAGAATGATTTAGTAATGCAGATACAGCGAGTTTGCAGTAATGTTTCAAAGATTTCATTTTTGTATCCGACACTGGCCGAGAGCAAAAGAGAAAATGTAAAGGGACTTTGGCTTAAGATTCAAGGCGACACTGTCTAAAAAAAAAGATAGAAACATCCCACTCCCGGGCAATCTTGCTTAGAACGTGTCCAAAAGGCAATGGACAGTGTCTAATGGGCTTCTAAACTGGTTTTCTCCATGAATTTTCCCCCGAGATAAAACTAACGGACTTTGGTGACAGTTTTCAACTGGCCGTTAAACTAGGCCAGAGGGATTTAGATAGGAAATACTTCTTTTTCATGGGTCGTAAATCGTCAAACCTAATTCAAATCCAGTTTGAAAATCTTTTTTCAACCTACTAATGAAACTCCGGTTGAGAAAATTCTAGCCTTGTTGGTTGGATTTCACCTCGGATTACCTCATTTATGCATTGCCTTACTAAAAAACGAATCTTCTATTATAAAAAAATAGTCATCTATTTAATTTAAGAAAAATCGTAGGAACAAAACTATTGAAGATGGCGAAACGTGCAACCTCGTATAGAAATTTATTAACTAGCCAAACTGTTGACCTTAGCGCCTACATTAATTTTTAATTTGTGTTAATAATTAGATTAGATATTCTAGATTTATTGTTACTCTGTATTCTATTTTTTGTACAGAATATCTTAAAGGAACGTCATCTGATTCTTAAGGAACAAATAATATTCTTACCACTATACTACTTAGTTTATCATTTAAGTTAAAATAAATACAAACTCATTTCTATTCTCATTCAGTAAACGGACTAATATTTAAACTTAAAAAAATTGCTTATTAGAATGTATCGTGAATGTTGTTGTTCAACTGTGTGGCGTTAGTGACCCTTTAGTCGATGATTATTCCGAAATCGCGAGATGTGGTCTGGTGTGATGTAGGTTTCAGAAAAACATTTTCTTGATCGTGCCAACGTTTCGATCTTTATTGAGATCATCTTCAGGGCCTGGGATTTACAAACATTGTTTACATATAAAAACTACATTTTGGATGTGGAAATGTGAATTTATACAATGCAAAACAATATTGTTTCACCTTCAATCAAAGTATTTCTACTCACATGTATGGCACAATTACGCAGAAAACAAATACTTTGAGTTAGTAGAAATACTTAGATTGAATTAAAAAAAAATTTTTTTTTTACATTGTATAAATTCACTTTTTTCCACATTCTACTTGTTTTTGTTAAATTTAAACAATGTTTGTAAATCCCAGGCCCTGAAGATGATCTCAATAAAGATCGAAACGTTGGCACGATAAAGAAAATGTTGTTGTTCAAGGTTATAACTTAAAACCAAACATAACTTCTACCATCTACCTCTGTAAATTTATGGCCCTTGTCTCTAGAATTCTTCATCTTCAAGAATTAATTTTTAATGTTTTCCTAAGTCTTAAACTAAACCTTGGAAAATTGTTTGTTCTGACTGCGCGAATTCGGACGGCTGCCATTTTGATTGAAGAAGTTAAATGTGAATCAAACAAAACTCCAATTTTCCATGATAAAAGTTCTTACATATTTAACTTGAACTGAAAACTACTTTTTTATTATATTTATAATTTTTAGTGTTAAAAATTTTGTGTTTTATTTGTAAGTCTTTTAGACAACATAAAAAAGCTGAAAGACTAGTAAACTAAAGGCTATTCAGCAAAAACTCAAAGAATTTTCTTTAATCCGTAGGAAAATGTTTATTTAATAATTACTTTTAACTGAGTTTAATTTAGACTCTATTTTCTCCTCAGTTTTTTTAAAAAGTTATTTAGGCAGCATACTACAAAAGACCAAACACTACTGAGAATTGGCCAAAGATAAGTGATAAACATTTTGTTATTATATTGGATTTTATTGGATAAAAATGACCGTCCTTTTGCTACAGGCGACATACTACAAAAGGCCAAGGACTTAGCATTGGGCAGAGCACTAAAGGGTAACTTGATTGAGGCTTATCCTGTAGGCTGTTGTAACTTACCATTTGAACCAAAACGGTTATTTCTAGTCACAATCTAACATTTTATTTTACTCCGCCATTTTTTTAAATTAGCTTACGCACTTGTTCTTTAATTTCTCTTCTTGCTTTTTATTAATTATTCATCATCATTCATAATTAACAAGGTGAATAATTGGAATGACAACAGTCCTAAATTGGTAATTATAACTCTCAAAATTTAAACTAAAGTAAAAAAGTAACCGCATTTTTTTTTAAAGTGGCTTTATCACTGATACGTTAGAATAAAATGTATGAATGAAATTATCAAAAAATTAAAATAATTCACTAGTTTTCGTAGTCCGCTTGAACAATTAATATTTTTTAATTAATCAAGGTTTTTAGTTGAGATAAAAAATGGCAAAAAGGAGGGAAAATTCAAAAGGTGGGGTTGAGATGGGAAGTTAGTGTCCGAGTGGATCGAAGCCACGATAGCTCAAGTGGTAGAACAGCGGCGTATCTAGCCGAAGGTCGTGGGTTCGAATCCCCCTCATGACATTGACTTTTTTATCTCAACTTAAAATCTTAATTAATTGAAAAAATTAAAATAATGATGATGATCAGCTAAGAAATTGTTTATGTTTTATTCATTACATGATATTTTTAGCATTACGTAGTTCTATATTAATCTTTGTTATGCTCAAATCAATATTTTGCTATTTGCTCAGCTTTACATTATGATGATATTCGACTAATACTTCTTACTTATGGAATAATGAGTAGAAAACCGAACCTAAATCATATTGCGTTCATATTTATTATTAAATAAGGCAGTTTTAATTGATTTAGGCTTTTTATAGGTTGAGTATATGATCTAAAACAAAAATTGTTGAGAAAACAGGGTATAAATTAAACTAAGTTCATAGTAATTATTAAATATTTTTTGTTGGATCAAAGTAAAATGTTTGAGTTTATGCTGCATAGTTTCTGGCCAATGCTTACTAGTCATTGGGCTTTTGTATGTTGTCTAAAAGACTTGCAACAAAAACCGAGGAAAAATCTGAAACTAAATGTCACTGCGTTCATATTTATTATCAAATAAAGCAGTTTTATTTTATTTACACCATTTTTCGAATTTTCGCTGTATAATATCTGAACAATGATTTCTACTGTTTGATCTTTTATGTTTTGAGTGTATGACTTAATTGTTGAGAAAACAGGGTTTATATTAAACTAAGTTCATAGTAATTATTAAATAAAACATTTCGTTCTAGATCTAAGAACAATCTCTGAGTTATTTCATAGCCTCTGGCTAAGAATTAGTACCATTTTGGCCTTTGACTTAGTATAAACTTTGATAGCTAGGTATTTGAATTCTTTAGGGATGTTTTGGGCTTTTTCTTTTAGAGTGGAAATTTTAAAATTTATTATTCGAAGATCGTGAGATGCGNGCTTGACCAAGTAATATCTTTCAATTAAGGTTTTTAGTTGAGATAAAAAGTCAGTGTCACAAGCGAAAATTCAAAAGGTGGGGTTGAGATGGGCAGTTACTGTCCGAGTGGATCGAAGTCACGACACCTCGAGTGGTAGAGTAGCGGCGTATCTAGCCGAAGGTCGTGGGTTCGAATCCCGCACTAAAAACCTTAATTAATTGTAAGACTTTAATTGGTCAAGCGGACCACGAAAACAAGTTAAAATTTATATTCATTTTTCTGAAAGTAGTTTTCTTCGAATCAATATTAACTTCAACTTTGTTCACTTTTTTAATTTGTTAAGGACTTTTGCATCTGATTTGACATTTTCATCAATTTTGATTTGACCGCGAATAAAATTTTGTTAAAACAATTTTATGCAATCTTTGTTTATTATGTGGTTTATTTGAAGCGTTTAATAAACAATAAAGTCCATTAATTAAACAAACAAAATTTAATAAAGAAACTAATTAATTAACAAATAAATTCAATTTTATGTGAGAAATTAGAGGAAAAACTTTTGTAATTGATGTAATTACATAAAGTAGATAACCTCGGTGCTTTTCCTTTAGATTTCTTCTTTTAAATTCATAACGCAAGCTTCTAGAAAAAATATTGCTGATCAAACTCTGATTTCTCTCATGTACTCCAGATTGTAAGAATTATCTTTGGTTTAATGTTTACACGTTAATTTTATATTTATTAATACTATTATTTTTTAATAAGAATAAGACGTCCTTCAATTCGGTTTCTATGTCCAATGAAAACTCGACAAATTAAATACTGCTCATTATCGAAAGACTTAATTGACTCCTTTGGTTCTGTGCGCGTTTGATCTGATTGTGTAAACAATCGGCCGGCGTCCTTCTGCCCTCGGGGCTAATTGATTTAACTTCGCGACCGACGACTCGGTGTTGACCCTTCTTCTACCAATAACAGCCATTGTTCGTGCCCTATCCGCCAGTATTTTGTTCCCTTTATTCCTCTTGTTTGCGACCCACAAAAGGGCCTCTCGCTCGATAGCAAAGCCGTTTTATGTAAGGGCTCTGTTTACGAAATTATTGTGATGACTGGGCCAAAAAAAAAGAAAAAAAGAAACCGTCGAAGTACCTGACTAGGCACTAGGAGAATGCCTTCGGCTTAATCCATATTAAAAACTTTTCAAGTCAGAAATCTCTAAATAAAACTGTGGAGACAATTAAACCCGTTTTTCAATAGTTAATAATACGTAAAAATTTTCACAAAGTTAAACTCAATGATAATAATTATTTAAAACAAACCTTTAAAATCTTATAACTTCAAAGTTAATGTAAAAAAGAAAATATTTTTATTGTAATTAAATTAGAAAGGCTAACAATTAGACCCTGAAAAATGTTACATTGCGAAAAAAGAAAAGAATTATTGAAATGTTTGAAGTCTTTGCCCTTCTTTATTAACGTATTCATTCGGTTTCTTGTTTTTCCCTTGCTAATAAACCCATTTCGAATAATAAGAAGAGTGTTTTTCGTGTTTTTCTTTCTTTGTAAAAAGCTTTTACCAAACTGCTTTTCACATATTTTACCCACGTTTTGAAAGGATTTTTAAGTAAATTATTATCTAGTTGTAAATTTTTTCACCTGCATTCTGTTGTTCCATTTCAAATTTCATAACTCCTATAGATGTTACGCAAATTCAATATTGTTACAATTGATCTAATCTACTTTTAGATTACTGTAAAATATCTTCAGATTTGATGTCATTGTAATTGATAAATTTGTTGAAAACAGTACAATTTAAGATGTAAATAAAAATTTTGAACCAAGTATTTCATATTCACATAAAGTGTGGTGTATTCTTGCGGTGTCATATTGATTTTGTGTGACAGTGAATTTGTATTTACGAATTGTACAAAATCTATATATCACCACAAGAATAGAACCACAATTTAGGTGAGTATGAAACACTTGGTTCAAAATTTATATTTACATCCATTACAGTTCGTGGTCCGATTGACAAATTTACATTTTTCAATTAATTAATATTTATGAAAGGTATTGGTTGAGATAAAAAAGTCAGAGTCACGAGCGGGATTCGAACCCACGACCTTCGGCTTACATTTACATTTTGAATTGTATTTTTTTCCAATCAACATATGTAATTCACCGAGGTCCTGAAGGTGACCCGAATAAAGGTCGAAACGTCGGCAAAAAAATGAAAAAGGTGTTTTTCTAAACTACCTCATTCTTGACCGATCAATATATATAAATTGATAAAAAGTACATTTACATCTTAAACCTATTTATATCTCTAATAATCTATTTATAATCTATAATAGATATAAATTATAACTGAAAATAATAATAATCAAAGAAAAATTGTTTATCAAATTGATAAAAAGTACATTTCCAAGATAAATTATATATATAATTTTTCTTGGAAATTTTTTTTTGATTAGCCTTATATACTCACAAAAAATAAAATTTACAAAATTTTTATCAAAGATAAAATGTACATTTACATCTGAAACCTATTTATATCTATAATAATCTATTTATAATGTATATTAAATATAAACTATAAATAAAAATAATAATCAAAGAAAAATTGTTTATCAAATTGATGAAAAGTACATTTCCAAGATAAATTATATATATAATTTATCTTTGAAATGTACTTTTTATCAATTTGATGAACAAATTTTTTATTGATTATTATTATTTTTATTTATAATTTATATTTATTATAGATTATAAATAGATTTAAGATGTAATTGTACTTTTTATCAATTTGATAAAATTTTTGTAAATTTTATTTTTTGTGAATATATAAGGCTAGGGGAATGCAAAAAGGAAAGAAATGTGCCATTGTAAATGTCAGGGAATAAAATAAACAAAACAGCGAAGTTTAGATGATAAAGTAAAATAAAATCCAGCCAAACTATATTAAATTGTTTGGAGCCATAAAGAAGTTTAATAGACTAATAA